AGCCCTGTGTGTAACCAGAGGTTCAGTACCTGACTGTAGAGCCCTCCTCTGCCGATCAGAACTCCCATGTCTTTACAGTCCTCCCAGATCTGATTGATTTCTTCAGCTGGAAGAGGGTGGCGACTGTCCTAAGCAAAGTGAACATTAAACATCAATTAGACATTCTAAATCAATTGTTTGAGAAAGAGAAATATTCCAGTCTCTCCAATAAATCCCACCCTCATCTCTGGCTGAAAGCATTAGCTGTGTAATTTATCTGCTTTCTAGGACGAGTTCATGCAGTGAAGGTACACAAGCCACTGTTTACTGGAAGCTTGTGAAATATTTGAAATGCTGGAATGTTTTGTCTCAGTTTTAGCCAGGGTGGCGTTTTCTCACTTCACTGGCTGTTTTTTTAGCAGACGATTTCCCATTACTTCAGCTGAAATAAAATGTGGTCGAGCTTTTCAGTGGCAGTGTAAGTTGAAGGGAACGAAGCAGATCACTAACCTTGTCTGTCACCATTTCCACTCCAATCATGAGTCCCTTGCCTCGGACGTCTCCAACAATCTCAAATTCATCCCGCAGTTTAGCCAGCTCCAGTAGCATGTATGTTCCCACATCCTCACTGTTTTTTTGTAGACCATCTTCTTCGATAGCCTGATTAAAATAGTGTGTTAGGACAGGGGTGCAGAAAAACTTCCAGTACAGCTGGTTAATCCCCATTGGGCTTAACGACATGTGTTCTCTCGCTTCCTTGCAGATCTCACTACTTCCACGTTCCTTCACTACTGTGGTCCTTACATTTTTCTTCCCTTAAAATCCTCTAATGTCATCACAGTACAACTGAACATAGCATTTCGATGTTGCTGTGGCATTTTTCACATTTTACTTATTATTCCGTAAACATTACCTAGCAATTCATGCTCAAATTTACTCATAACTGGAAAAGGCCTGACTAGCAGGATCGTTTTCAAAACAGTATTTTAGTTCTTTCTTAGCATAATGAGAAGAATATGATTTGACAAGGCATACCTGTGTGTACCAGGCAGCCTGCTAGGGAG